GAGAGAAATAACCTCTTTAAAATGTAAAATATCGGGAAAAATCATAGCGCTGTAAGTCAGAAAATTTGGTCTGTTCAATTATTATTAAAATGACTTGGTATGCTTCATTCCGTTAGAAATGGCTCTGTTACCGATTTTCGCAAAAACATTGAAGAAAATTTCCGAAATGCGCGAATTTTCACACTTTTAAAAGCCATAATTCCTTTCATATGCATCGGCAGAAATGTGAATATGACACTGTGAACTGAAAGATTCGCTCTATTCAACTGTTATTAAAATCAACCGATACGTTAGGATTCCGAAAAATGGTGCCATTGAGGTTTTTCGTCAGAGTACCGCCAAGAGATTCCCCTTCGTTGACAAAAATGTATGCAGTAAGAACATTGGGTATAAGAAATGTCCCGGGGATCAAGAAAAAGAACACTTCTCTCATAGAAGCAGATTACTGAAGGAGAAGAGAAGCCTCAAGAATCCACAAAATGTAGAATGAATTACAAAACGAAGAGTTGACAAGAACTCACCTCTGGCTCTTGGGTGGTTTGGAGCGATTGCTGCCAGTCTCTTCGTTAACGCGAGAGCCCGACGGACGTTACCTTGTTGGTAGAGGGAGTAGGCAAGATATTCCAAAACTTCCTCTTCCTCGATTGTTTTGGGATTCTCATGTTCAAGCTGAAAGCTTTATCTGAACATATTGAACTCTTCATATAACACAGGCTAAGAATGCTCTAGTAGACCGTACATAAGTTTTGTAGGGTAAATACGATTGCAACGAATGCAGTGAAGAGAAGAGAAAAGGGTTAGCAGGATACTTCTTTCTATGTGGGCAAGATCCCACTCCTTCAAACAACTGCGATAGAAATTCAACGAAGTAACCTCCCTTACGATAGGGTCTCGTACAGTACCTTCTATGGGTGAAGACAGTGAAGAGAGCTGTGTGTCCCATGCAAGGTTCCGATGCGTGTATTTAACAAAAAGTTAATATAGAAGCCGCATCCACAGTGCCTTCCAGAGCGTCATTTGATTCTAACCAGGGAATGTTTTGAACTTCCCATGGAACTTTGAAAGGAGACCTAGGTACATCGATAGAGTCTTGGACGCTGATTACAAATATGGACACTAAAACTGCTACGTGAACTTTAAGAAAGTTGTGAGCCTTAAAAGTTGCAAAAAAACGCTACTGATGAGGTACAACCTATGTGGAAACACGGTTGCTTCTTGCCTGGATTTTGTTCTATAACGGTAAATGTTGTTATTCCACCAGGCAAGCTCGCCTCAGTAATAATTTTTCCAAATTTGAAGGCTCATAAGTTTCTTAGTAAGTTCACGTAGCAGTTTTTGTGTGCATCTTTGCGATCAGCGTTCAAGACCCTATTGACACATCTAGGTTCCCTTTCAAAGTTC